GTTTCTGTATATATGAAGTTGCAGAGTGATGAGGAACAAGTGGAAGCCAGACAGCTCGAGAGAAGTTTCGAAATGGGAAACTCTGGAGAGAGACTTACTTACCATTATTTTCAAGAAGCTCGATGTCATGGACCTTACCAATGGAGCTTCACGCGTCTGCGTCTATTGGTTCCTTGTCTCTCATGACAAAACTCTCTGGCAAACCGTCGACCTAGCCAAGCTCCAACAAGTGGTCGTCTCTTACCGTCCCAGGCTCGGAGATAAAGTACGACGACCAGTTGTATCCTACAATTACCAGGTTGAAGAAGGCCTAAGATCTAGGACTCTTTTGGCTAAAATGTCTATGTTATTCTTTAAAGTAGAGAAAGGCAAAAATCTCAGGAAATTATTGATTGAGATCACAAATTTGAGTGGCTCGGTCACGAAGAATTTGATCTTCCACTCTCATTCTTATGTAAGAGAGATGGATCTCATGCTCGGAGGTACATGAGCTAAACATAACATAGTTACTTGTTGTTATAAGTTTCATGGACTCCTCACTTTGCTGGTTGTTGTTTCACAGGATGCCAAACATCGAGAAACTTGTTTTACCGCGCTGGTGCTATCAAACGGAGAAGTCATGTCAGTTTGCGTTTAGTCAATGGAAGAATCTTAAAACACTGTTCATTGCTCATGATCACAATATCAACGGAGAGTTCAAGTTTCAAGCTGTCTGGGAGAGACGTGTAGTAACCTCACCAACTTTAAATTTTTGGGTTATGTGGGAGTTCACAACGTTGACCAAATCTTGCGTTACTTCAAGAAGCTAAAGAGGTTGAGTTTGCGATGCTCTTACATCTCCTTTAATGTAGTTTTCATGCTAATCGTTGGCCCCCAAAACCACCACGCATCCTCAATCTGAGACATTGTGCATTCAACATCTTTGATATGTTCCCTGAAATTGACGATGAGACATTCGATTTACCTAACAAGGATCTCGTACAATCCGCCAAAAAGAAGCTTGAGAAATATATTAGATGTTCACCTGGTTGCAGCTTCTGCAAAGGCTGGTTGGAGAGGTTTCATTTAACATCATTGGATGCGTCGCCTTGGCATCCATATGACAAGGATTGGCAACACGACGAGATTGAAGAATTTGTATTTTAAGAGCTTTGTTCATGTTTTGAGCACCTAAACATTGTCATTTGCTCAAACTACTAAACAATTGGCATTACAAAAGTCACTTAATTATATATTTATTAGGATTTGCCTATGTTTCCTTCTTTGTTACATATTTAGCTTTCAATGTTTTAGACCTTTCTTCTTAGGACAAGAACAAATGTGATGGGTCTTATCTCTTCCTTAGCCAACTCCTCATCAACCAATCTACCGTATGTATCAAACAGCTTGTCCATAATCTCTTCTCCAAAATGTTGAGCAAGCATTGATTCTTGAACCGCTCTTACCGTCTTCGCAACCGCTTTACCATAACTGACTACATCCTCGTTGTTCCCTTTCTCCTTGTCCATTTCTAACATCTCTAACCTCTCTAACTCAAAAGACCCTTCTTTGTTTACTTCATCTTCTATCTCAGAACCACTTGGGGCGTAAAAATGCATCTCGTACGAATCAAGTTTCTCTTCCTCAGTTTCTCCCTACATGTAAAGGTTAAATGAAGCCATCAATTAAAGCCTTAAAATATATTTTCAAAAATAAGTAACTAAAAAAGCACAATTTTTCCAAGATTATAAAAAAACATTTTTTGATATTAATGTAGGACATCTGAAAACATTGGACCGGTTTGGAAACAGTAACATGGTTTTAAATCAATTTTCAAAATCAAGATCCATCTTTGTGAAATCAACAAATGTATATACAATATATTTTTTTTTTGGTATGAGTATATACAATATTACCTGTGCTACAAGATCTTTTATGGATCTTGCGAGAAGTTCCCAAAAGAAAGAGTTTCCTCTATCTACATGATCATGACCTTCTCTTCCAAGTATTATAAGCACTATTCTGCCTCCAGCAACCACCTCTTTCGATCGAAACCGAAGAAAATTGGAGAAATCTTCCTTGAATTGAGTGTAGTAAGCTTTGGAAACAGCTTCAGGGCTCGAGAAGCAAATATTAACACAACCTTTGTTTATGGACTTGCCTTGATCATCATAAATATCTGAAGGAACCTGCACAGACAAAAAAGAAACAACTCAAATATGTATATACATAATCAACTGGAATGTGGTCTAGTGGTCTTGAAAGTAAATACTTAAGTTCAAGGTCACTAATTCATCTCTCTTAAATGTGGTATTATCAACGACTGCTCCGGATATCGGGAGATTATAGATCAAAGATCCAGAACTCCCACGGTTTATAAAAAAAAAATGTATAGACATACACCTAAAG